AACGGGCTCGGTACAACACCGGCGGCGACCAGTCCGCTGATGTGCGCCATATCGGCCATTAGATAGGCATCTACCTGGTCGCAGATGTCACGAAAACGCTTGTAATCCAGATGTCGAGAGTAGCAACTAACACCTGAATGAAAATGGTAATTCTTAAGGCAGAAACAAAGTAGAATCTTAAACAACAAAGGAGTGATTATGGGAAAAAAGACTAATTTAAATGTTACAGGTTTATGCAGATGATATCGCGCTTTTCAGTAACTCGCGATACCAGCTGCAAGGTGACAACGATACACGGCAGTCATTAAAGTGAAGGCACTGAGCCTAAGCACTGAGCAAGATTCACGCATGTTCTGATATGATTGTGCGTTGACTCATATGGGCAAATGGAATGCATGCAGAATTAGCAATAAATAAAAAATTTCTACCAGTGGCATAGACTAGTATATACAAAATTCAAATAGATTTTGCTCAAGCGTTCTTCATGATTCTCACTGTACGAACTCTGCGATGATCAAAGTACAGGATCACTTGAAAGGACATACATGGTAAACTTTACACTCATTAAATGCTACAACAGTTATGAAGGCCTGTCATAGTCCTTGAAGCAGTCGGGACAAAAGCCACACATTACAAATCTGAAAAGAAGAATCTGGAGTCATATTGTGAAATAACTCTTGAAGAAGGCACAATCAATCAATCGATCAATAATTCTACCCTCGCAACAGGAATAATAACTCACATATTAAACTAAGGTAAAGCAGACTGTTAACACAGTGTAAAGTTGTTGTTTAATAATCATAATATAAGACTAAGAGAGAAACCTAGATTTATGATGTCTGACAGCTATAAATGCTATTTCTAACTGATATTAGGTCGGCAGCTCAGTGTTCCTGGTAAAAGCGGTTGAACCACTCTGTGGCTGTAAATCACTCATCGGACAGTGAATGAAAAATACTTCAACGTTAACGTTCTTTTAAAGGTTACAAACTCGAAATACAAATGTAAAGATATAAATGCACCTTTCTACCTACCTACAGACAACAATCCTCATGGTTAACCCATTCTGTCATGTTGTATTCAGTAAATAATAAATTGCATTGCTCCCTTCGCAATGACAACCGGCAAACAAACTGAACAATTAATGAAGAAGGGTATTAATAAGGAATAGTTACTGACGACAATGTACCGGCAATAATCACTTTCGGTTTAAAAATGAGCGCCATTTTCTCTAATGCATCATAATCGATCAGTCCTGACTTTGGATCGACCTTGTACGGCATCGACTCAAAGAAAAGAGAGGTGGCGGAGATTTTCTTCTTTTCGGTGTAAAAACTATTAAACAACGAAGAATAAAATAAAACGCAGAAAATCCTTCAAAAAATGACGTACCCGTGGGTCAGGTGTCCACCGTCCGGCAGATCCAAACCCATTATCCTACCGTGAGGTCCTGCTACAGCAGTGTACACTTCAAAGTTGGCCGGACTTCCAGAATATGGTTGGACATTGACAGCCCAGTTTTCTGGCGACAAACGAAACACCTGGAGGGCGCGTTTTTGGCAAAGTCGTTCTACCTCGTCTATATGCTCGTTGCCGCCGTAATACCTAATGTAATAATGATCACACTTTTTGATGCAATCAACAACAAATGAAATACCTCGCTCCAGGATAACCTTCTGAATACTTGTTGTGAAAGCATGAGCTCAGTGCTTCGAGAACGGCACGGCTCGCAAAATTTTCACTGGCAATCAGTTCGATTTCGTGCTTCTGTCTTTGCTTCTCCTGTTTTCAACATGCATAGGATAAATCGCATCGAAGTAGAGTGATGGATCAAACGCTGGAGTCGAATCTCCAGATGGCGAACAAGGTATTCTCTTAGACCATCCATTACCTGTTGAGGAGAAAACAAGGGCAGTCTAAGAATCGTGAAGGACAAGTTTGGACAACCTCTTAACGAGAATGAGGAAGAGAGTACTTTGAGGAACTCCTTAACCCAAAGCAACCGCCCCCACGAAGAGCAGCAAGGAACGGATATTAGTATTTTTCTAGATGAAATTACACAAGTTGTGGAAAGCTTGAAAAATGGAAAGGCTGCCGGAATTGATGAAATCCGCCCTGAAATGCTCAAACCAGCACTGGCCTACACTTGTACGTCAAACGGCAACGGCTACGGGAAAGACATCAGCGGAATGGAGAATGGGAGATGTTACACCTGTTCAAGAAGGGAGACCACAGGGAACGCTCAAACTATCGGGGCATTACGTTATTGAGATTCCCAGGTAAAGTCAACGCAAAGGTGCTAGAATGGAGGTGCAGCGGAATACCTGACTCGAAGACAAATGAAGAGCAGCAGTGTGTTTCAGGTCAGGCCGAAGCATCTCTGATCAAATATTCGCCTAACGATAGATTGCTCACCCATTTTACATGTGCTTTTTGAACATAAAAAAAGCCTATGAACGCATCCCGTGCAACAATCTACGGTCGAATCTTGGAAAATATGGGATTGATGGCCAGTTGCCGATCTTCGATACAAATAATCATCATTATTTATATTATAATTGTTGTTGTCTTCGTCAATTTGGGTACAGGTTCAAGGACAGAGTAGGCAGATTAATGATCTGAATATACCAAGATGACTAGAGCCGTAAAATAAAATGAAAACATTCATTGCAAATGTAAATAAACATTGTTTCCATCAGATAAAAATTTGACGACAGACACGTTCGTTTTACGGTACAGGTGTTCGCTGTTCGAGTCAACTGCCTTTGCATTTTTCGGTCTTTGGTCATATCGCTCTTTACGGCATCGCTCCGTTCCTTCTTTAGTCTTCCCTTCCTATTCTTCCCTAGCAAGATCAATGCTTGGACTACGTTTTCAATTTAGTAATCGGATCTTCTTCTGAAAAGGCTTAACAACTGAAACTGCTTTAAATCAGCTATTCTGAAATTTGTGCTACAATTAAAGCACATGTCAAGTAGCTATTCCACCTATGGTATCTCATGATCACGCATCTAACTAGACTTTCGCACTTCTACCGAATTCAGGTGTTGCTGAGGTCTCTTCAGAATAGTCAAACATTCAACCCTGTACATAAGTACCGGTCATACTGTAGTTCCGTACACATTTCCTTTTAGTTTCACCTTAGTTTTATCACACAGTACGCCGCTCAGTCACGGCTTTCGAACTGATTTTTTAATTTTGGATTCTTTGATGACTTGAAGAGTCAAGATATTTAAATTCTTTGGTCAGAGGCAGCATACGGCCGCTACTTTAATTAATTCATTGACTTTCCCTCTGTTTTCCTAAACGAAATAGTTCGTCACATACTCAGACTTGTTTCTTTGGGCTAAAGGGCGTTTTTCTTAAAGACATTAATCCATGAACATGATTCTCTCTTCAACAAGGACGTCAGACGATAAAAATTGTTAATATACTAATTTTTATATAAATGGTTTGCGTACCTTTTTCATGATTGAAACCACCTCAGGGTCGCACTGTTCCAACGGATCTTTCAGCATGTTCTTTCCGTCGTACGGGACCTTTTCACATTTTGTACCAACGCAGTTAGCTGTCATGATTCTTACCTGAAAAAAATTCATTTCAAAGATAAAGCATTTGACAACCTAAGTATTCACTGCTAACTTGAAATGCTAAAATCCTTATTGATATTCTTTTACTGATTTTCCTGCGATAAGGTTAAGTTGTCACGACTGAATGCTACTCTGATCGCGCGAACTTGACTGGGAATGCAAATGAGAAAGAATTCACAGATATGGAAAAATCTGTTTTAATTGCTAGTCTAATGAGCAGTAAAACTCAGATGTTGGGAAAGGTTTGCAGCGAGATCTAATGGAGAAGGGATTGAAAAACACATAAAACGCTTCAGCTGAAAAAGCTTCAAAGGACGGGGTAGTATGCCGTGAAATACAGAATGTAAAGATTTACTTGTTTATACTACTTTAGTGTTAAAAAAACTATTTTAATTCTTCATACGGATGCATAGTAAGAGTAAACAATGCATAAACTTCTGTCGACAGTGTCCATGGAGGTATTCATATATTGAAACGATGACCTGCCTCACTGATTTTACGCTCGATCCCACCCCCAGCATTGCGATTATCCGCTAATTCAAATTCACAGGTTGTGAAAATCCTGTAGATATTCACCATCCTGAGGAAAAATCTTACCAACCTAAATTCCGAACCTCTGATCGTTTGTTAATCAGTAATTACGAAAATTAATGAAGGACATAGGACTTTTAACGAAGTTTCACGAAAACACAAACAAATTCAAAATTGAAAAGGCCAGGGATGCTCAAAATCACTGCAGTTAATCACATTAGCCTAAAGAGCCATATACAGATGGACACCACTTAAGTCACGTGCGGTTTGCCGACGACATTCTAATCTTTTCAATGTCACCTGAAAATCTTAAGAAAGAATCCGAGAGCTGAACGACACTCACATGAAAGTGAGGTTGAAAATGAATCTGAAGAAGATTCAGGTTATATTCAATAAACAAATGATACAGCGACCTGTTTAAACGATTAAGTCAACGAATCTAGGCCTAAAGTTGCGCAATGCGATGTCGTGTGGGAAATCTCATATCTACAACAAAAAACGGACTATGTAAAATCAACAAAAGAATAAAATGATATGTAGCACATTTTGAAGACTAAAAATATTCTTATTTGGAAAACTAGCCAATATACTTGAAACAGAATGTATTGAATTCGTTTGCGCTATTAGTGCAAACCTCAGGGTACGAGGTGGACCCTAAGCCCTAAAGATATTCATAAACAGCAGACAATGCGGCGCACCGTGAAAAAAATGTCAGGAATAACAAGAAGAGATAGGAAGACGAGTGAATGAACGGGTGAGAGCAAAAAAGAGAATGGCCTGTGAAGAAGACATGTTTAAAAAAACCGACAATCGCTAGAGCAAGATATTAAACTAGGTTCCATGAACGGGTAAACAGCCCGTAGGAAGACAAACGAACTTAAGAAGTACGATGACTTAATAGAGAAAATGGCGAAAAAACAGAAATCTATGGGGAAGTATTGGAGGTCTTCACCCAGCAGTGAATCGACAAAAGTTGATGATGAAGATGATGCTGAGTCTTATAGCTCCATAAGTCTAATGGCATTAAACCTAGTATCGTAAAATCATTAACACAGTAATTTTTAGTTACTAAATAATTTTACTGTTGGAAGAGAAACACAAAGTTTTATTTTTCAGCTACTTTAACTGATGTCTTGGAACGAACCATTACACACACACGCACGCACACGCACACACTCAAAAATGTTAGAGTGGTGTAACTCTCTCTCTCTCTCTCTCTCTCTCTCAAAAAGTAAGAAATCGACACCTGTACTGGTAAGACTTTAGAAAAAGAACTTCTTATCATGGGAGATGACCGATTGACATAATGACCAACGATCATCGACCCATCACTTTGGTATTGTTTGAATTTCAGGATCCAAATGTTAGAAGCTGACAAGTCAAAAAGTAGACGAATGAACCATACCGCAGCTTAGTCCTTGAAAAGTTCTAATATTTTCATAAGGTCGGCTACAAAGAGAACAAGTTTTTATGTTTTTTTGTAACTAGGGTAAAAATACACAATTATTATTACCCCTAAGTGGAATTTTAGTGCACGAAAAAAATTTAGCCAGATGTTATAAATCTTAATCGCCTGCAAGCAACATACAATTGGTTTTATTTGATATATAGCAAATACGAGAGTATAGAATGCAATGGATTACTTGCGACTGATCATACTTATGATTGTTGCCCTTAACAATAGAAGCTTTAAACCGCTTCCTAATTAGCGGGCATGTTCAAGCTCGCTATTTCGTCCAAGTGTCCTGTAATCTGTCTCTGCCAGCCGATCTAAAGCTTCAACTGTTTTGTTATCATAATCAGAGGGTAACGGAGAACAAGCAGCAAAGAAAATCACATTTACGCCTGTAAATTAAAACTGACACTTCAGATTCACGTCAGGCAACCTTCACTGTTGCGGCAAAGGTCAGATTCCTCTTCGCAAGTAGAAAAGCCTCAAAAATGTGTTTCCACATTTTGTATTGTCTCCATCGCGGCCAGCCGGTGGTTGCCATGTGCGACAAGTTTTGAAAAGATCTGGATTATTTTTTAAATTGCTTTGGTGGTACCATCGCACTTTGAAGATATTGCCTGATCGTCTAGAGGAAGACTATCGTAGGATTTTAGTGTAAATATAATATGCAAACACCGAGCGCACGACCACAGTGTGCTTCAAGTCATATTTACTGCTATTTGCTCGTTTTCAGCGGTTCTATGGCATGCATACAACTATCAATAAAAAATTTAAGTGTACATAAAGAAGACTCAAATTTTATCTATTTATTTGTACAGCAGCTCCTGTCTGAAAGTATGCTGGCCTTTCAGTACTTAAAACATGTGAGATACCACAGATCGTGTGAAGATATCGGTCCGTAACAGGAAATGTTTAAAGCACAGAACGAAAAGGATCCATTCTTGAATGACATCTGATCAAGGGATTGGGATCATACAAATGATGCGACAGATAGTCGAGAATCTCTAGCACTGTTTTATTGCGGTACAAACTTCAGAGATCCTGCAGAGGCCACAACAGACGCTGAGTTCGGAGGGTACATCAATGAGCCTATTTTAAGATCTATGGCAACACTGTAAGGCAGAAAAGCATCCCGGACGTTAAGCGTTATAAGGAATACTGTTGCCAAGTAAGTTACTGGAGGGAGGAAGTACATTCTACCATCGAAAATATTTCAAAGCTTTAATCTGTGGGAAAAAATATTAGAGTGGCATTCAGATACTGGCAAATTAGACATTCACATATGCGCCATGATTAACCTCATCAGTCATTCGAAAACAGAGCAGATTCAGTAGCCAAAAACGAAGAAATAGTAAGTCATACACAAAACGAAAGCTTTATAGGTTTAAAAAACCCTAATAATATTTCGGGTTGCTAAAGAAAGTAAGGACACCTGAATGACCAGTTATGTTAACTGAACGCAGAGAACAGGCCAGCATGTTCGAACCTCGAATGACTGGCGCAAAAAAGATGAGAATGCAACCGCCGATGTGGTGTTCATTACTCATATACGAACCCAATTCACCGGCAGTGATGTCCTAAAATGATTAGACGGCAATTTATAAAAAATTTTTTGCAACTTGCGTAGGAAAACGGCAGCGCTTAGGTGACCACTGAAGTCATAAATCATCCGTCAAATCTACTACCTTATTAAATAGCGGTGACGTATTCTTCAGCGAAGTTACTTCTATGCTACTGATTCAGAGTAAAGAAAATGATAGCAAATTTATACGCATGGACATACGAAGAGAAGACAAATGATGGCCGTGTGGATGGAATGGTACATCGAGTTCAATGAAGAAAACCGAACAACGGTCGATCGGTGTGGCAGTGAGAATAAGATATACACGTCGATAA